ATTTGCCCATTTTCAATACCATCCTCCTACGGATAAGGAAAGCCTACACTACCAAGATTTCGTTGAGATATCTCAATTTTTCTCGAGTTATCGTGTACACGAAGACGGACAGGACAGACGGACAGACGGACGGACAGACAGACATGGCTTAATCGATTTCTTTTTTCATCCTGATCATTTATGTATACATTTGTCTATATCTATCTCGATTCGTTTTGGCTGTTACAAACAACCGTTATGTGAACAAAATTAATATACCCTTGTGCACAAGTGCGCTCGGGTATAAAAAACTAATTTAAAAATGTAATTTTCATTTCGTAAAATTGTGTTTTTATACAAGTAATATTTAGTTCCTTCAAACGATGTATTCAATGTACATACATCATGAAAATTTTGTACAAAATTCCTTAGGCGCCGAACGCCGCCGCCGCCGCCGCCGCGCCGATATTTTCGTAACTCGGCGGCGGCGCGTGAGGAATGACAAAAAACGGCGGCGGCGGCGGCGTGGCTCGGCGGCGTATACCTCTAGTATGTATGTATGTACATAGGTAGGTTAGTATAATGCACAAACTAATGCAGAAAAGTCTCATACATATTGTCAAATGGAGAATTGTTAAACCGAGGAATTCATTGTAGTGAATGTTGAGGACATTGTAATGTTGAGAGGTATTAGCAAGGAAACTCAAGTGGCGGCCCATAGTTCTCGAGGTCTACAGATGTGTGTGTGTGTGTAGGTGCGTGGCATTTGACCAAATTTTTATTTATGAGTAGGCTATGCAAAACTGTAATTTATTGTAATAAGGCAACAATTGGGTTGGCAATTACTGCGCGTGTTACTTTTCGGGGCACTACGCGTGAACAATAGTAACAATTAGAGGATCATATGACCACATGTGTACGCACATATGTATGTGTATTTGTGTATGTGTGTGTACATCCATATGTAAGTAAATCCCTTTTCATCACTAAGGCGTTCATAATGAAACCACTTGTGAGCCTTTCTTTGCTTACAAAAGTGTGTACAGTGTCAGTACATACATACAACATACATACATACGCATGTACATATGTAAGTACTCTTGTGATTGTATAGAAGGTAAAACGGCATTGTAGTCACCTAGCGTCGCGGGTGCATAAAGCTGCAGACAAAGCACACGATTTGTTTAGGATCTTCTGAGTCTTTGTTTACTTCGAATACAAAACAAACAGGATTTTCTATTATCCAGTATGCGGTGTGCACTGAATTTAATTTAAAGGCGGAAATACTTATGTGTGTATGTATGTATGTATCTATGGATACTCTTGTATATGTACATATGTATATGCTACATATACATACATACATACATACATACATATAAAAGGAGTTAAATTTTCACAATCAAAATTATCGAATGTACATATCGTCGCTACCATGTCAAACTATCGAATGTGAGAATGGATACTTTTCTGGAGAGCAAAACATTTGTTGTAAAAAATGTGGTCATTAGGAAAAAGTGTGGTAATCGACACATTGTTAAAGCCAGTATCCTCTGCTTCTATGAAGACTAAATATTCGCCGATTTGCCAAGTTACGTATCATTCTAAACGCATGCGCAAGGTATCGTAAATGAAAAAAAAAACATTTTAGCAAGGAACCGTAATCGTTATTGTATGATTTTATTATTTTATGATTTGAATTTTTTCGATCATTTTTAATCGTTATTATGTGATTTTTATTTTTTTGATCATCTTTAATCATTATATTATGATTTTTATTTTTTTTTTCGATCAAAAATAACAGTTATTCGTAGTTTGTTATAAGGTGTAAATCGAACGTGCACAGATTTGACTTAAAAATAATTTTTACAAGTACGTTCGTATATATGTACATACATATGTAACGGGTGATTTTTTTGAGGTTAGGATTTTCATGCATTAGTATTTGACAGATCACGTGGGATTTCAGACATGGTGTCAAAGAGAAAGATGCTCAGTATGCTTTGACATTTCATCATGAATAGACTTACTAACGAGCAACGCTTGCAAATCATTGAATTTTATTACCAAAATCAGTGTTCGGTTCGAAATGTGTTTCGCAAACCCAATTGCTGCGAACGGCGACGAATCGACATTTCACGGTCTTCAGCAACACTCTCAGAAACAGACGCAATATTCTCTTCTGTACGCACTGTACGCATTCGTGTGGTTGGTTTAATGTCCAATAAAGTAAACTGAGTGCGAAACTTGGTCACAATCGCATTAATTGTTTGCTCACTTGGTCGATTATGTAGACCATAAATCGGACGTAAAGCGAACCGAACACTGATTTTGGTAATAAAATTCAATGATTTGCAAGCGTTGCTCGTTAGTAAGTCTATTCATGATGAAATGTCAAAGCATACTGAGCATCTTTCTCTTTGACACCATGTCTGAAATCCCACGTGATCTGTCAAATACTAATGCATGAAAATCCTAACCTCAAAAAAATCACCC